GAGCACGTGCCTCCGCAGAGTGGGCGAGTTCATGGGTCCTGGGTCCTGGGTCCTGGATCCTGGATCCTGCTTGTCCTGGCCAATTGTCAGCCAGACGGCAAAAGGCAGGACTGATTGGAACTTTGAGCCTGCAGCTTCTGGCTGGGCGGACGTGCAGCGAAAGTTTAAATAAACACGACCACCAGTGCGAATGGGGGGGTGGGAAAACAAATTTTCCAAGCCGGGTGGGAAAGCAAATTAAAGTTGCGTGAAATGTCAGGCACTGGCTTCAAAACAAACCCCACTTGGGGTTTTTTTGAGTCGTGCTAACTAAATCTTTGTTCGATATAAAAGCCTCAGATTAGTTAGCTTTAAGGTCCTGCTTTAGCTGCTTTAAGGTCCTGCCATAGTTCACTTGTGCAGGGAGTAAGGAAAACAATGTCCTTCCCCCAATTTCGTTCCACCTCCACAGATCGCATAGTGTGTGCCTAGCCTGAAAGCATATCCATTTCACGCCCAAGTGCCGTGGCTTCCTTGGAACCGTGTGTCAAATCCATTAACCTTCTGTTTACTTTTCTACGTCCAGTGGCCGCAGCAGGGAAAAAATCAAAAGGAGCAGCTCACACACGATGGCGATGCCGTTGCCAGTGAAAGTGTTTTGTGGGAGAAATTTGATACTTTCGCCAAATTGCGTTGCACACTTGAGGTCCTTGGAGCTGAGAAACGACTGCTTCCCCACTCTCCCATAAATCTTACCTAGGCGTGCGAGAAATGGAGCGGGAAATAACCGCACAGGACCTCCCACTCGCACACACATCCTTGCAGCAACGGCTGCTCAGAAATGAGTATTAAGTTGACGTAAATTGCGGTCCATTACATTAACCAGAAGAAGGGACCCTGGACTTGGGAACTGGAATTGGGTCGGGGGTGCCAATTAACCTCGTGTCTCTGTTAATTGCTTTTGTAGTTTCGCTTACAATTGACAATTGAACAAACATCGATGCTTTATTTATGGGGAAAAATAAATAGGGAAAAGTTATAGTTTTACCACACACTGCTAAGGTTGTACATGCCTTTAGCTTTTTGGTAATAAGATCCCCATATTCAACTCTTTTAATAGAATTTCTGATTTAATCCTTTCACAGATCGTTAAACCTTCTAATATATCACGAGTTTTGTTACCTTCTTGTCCGCAGATGAGTATCTTAGCCTCTCCCCCGGAAAATACGTTCTAATGGAATTAAAAAACATAAATCCGCATCAGAAGCTCGCGATAAAATAAAAACTCAGCGCGGGCATTAGGCAAATGAAAACCGCATTGGGGGAAAAACAAAGGAAAAGGCAAGGAAAACGTAAATGACTTAAGAACTTTATCGGACATCGGCGACCAGCGGGAAAAAGTGGTAAAAAAAAAAAAAAAAACAAGGCGCTCGGAGGATGGAGTGCAAAGGACACTTGCCAGGAGCTTAAATAGAACGCTTGTAGGTGATTATGCAGCACATAATTTATGCAGGCCACCAGGACTCAGGACAACAGAACAATGACCATCCTGTTGGAGGAGGGGGCCGGCTAGGGGGAGCCGGCGAAACTGATTTAATTAAGCAGGTGATTAAAGTTGATGCCGGTTATTTGTAGCAGCCAAGAGGGCAACAAGGATGGTGCGCTTCGCATCCTGTTGCTCCTTGTTCCATCTCCTGTTCTCCTAAAGGGAAGCGTGAAAAGTGCGAGCAAACTTTTCCGACAGCGGAACTGTTCATTTGGTCTGCTCCGAAAAAAGGACAACAATGCAAATTTTGTTGGCTTGTTGCAGGGCAACATGGCGTATGCGCAACTTTCTGTTTACAGCGCGGGAAAAGGTCAGAAAGTGCAATCAATGCAAATTAAATTTCAATTAGAGGAGCTTTAAAGAGGAGCAGCTATAAGAAACGTGGAGAATCAAAAGGTTACCATTACTCAGACAACAAATGGGAAACTCAGCATTCTATAAATGGGAAACAAATTCTTTTGGTCATCTTTCAAAGTGGAGCCAATGTAAAACGTAGACATTTAATACTGACCTTTTGTTGCCATGTTGCAATGAGCGAATTGACTTTAAAGAGTTCCAAGAAACTGGCATTTGCAGTCGTTCTGCCCCTGAATTTACTGCGATTCCTGGACATGTGCTTGATCATGAGTTTCGGTGCTTGTGTTTTACACAAAATCGATTCGGCACCGAGGACAAGGCCAGAACGCACTCGACAATAAAGCGCAAGAATCAACAATTATGTTAATTTTCTTTGTGGGTCAATGTCTCGCTGTGTGTGTGTGTGTGTGTGTGTGCGGCTTGTATTTTACGGCTATATCTTGGGCCAAGTGTCAGGCGAAGACAGCTGCAGTGGCTAAAATAAATTAACATTATTTATGACATTTCTTTTCGCCTTAGCGCACACGATATGCTCCATGTTAAGTTCGGCTGCTGCCCCTCAATTTCCCCTGCTGTTAGTTAACAGAGAAAGTGGAGAGAGCTGGCGGCACTGCGCATGTCCTTCGCTCACACCTCAGAGCAAATACCTAGACACGTGCTTCAAGTCTGGCTGAGATATATAATGTACCTTACGCATCCACCAATCTACCTGCGTCAGTGGCACCCCCCTCCCCCGTTGCTTATATATGTACATATCTGTATATGTATACCTGCTTTAGGTGTTGGCCCATCGTCTTCGTTTCGTCGTCGTTTGGCTAGAAGAGTGCGGCATGTCGAGATGTAGGTGCCAGCTGCGCTGCTACCTCTCTCTCTTACCTGTGGGAAACCCCCACCTCCTGCCACTCCCCCTGATTTACCACCCGCCGCCACCCCCTTTCAGTTACCCAGCTGCAACCTCAACCGCAAGTAACAGTTGTTATTCGTCGTGCGTTTTTCGTTCGTTGGCTTTGCTCTCACAGATACATTCACACACACACACACACACACGCAGATGTTCTGGCCAACACACGCACACACACAATCACAGCCAGGTTGTTGCCTGTGCTGCTGTCTCGCTCGCTCTTATGGGCTCATATGGATGTGCTACCTACGCTTTTTAAGGTGAGCACGAAAATGTTGGCAGCCAACCAAAGTTGAGCACCTTCGAGGGGTTTTCCACGAAAGGGGGTGGGGCTCCATGTGTTTTTCCGACGGCCACAGCAAAACCTCAGGCTACTGGAGAGCTTACTTCTATTTTGATGTTATCAAAAGGCTAGTCCTCTATCCTGAATTTTGCTGTCATATGAAACGTTTAATCGCTTGGCCTAATTGTATTGTTTTTCGTGATTTATTGCGGAATTTATTCTTACGTTCTCTTGAACCTTTCTCTATTACGTAGTTATTTTCCTATATTTTTCCTGCTCCCCCTTACTCCCCCTATCAAGCTTTATGTTCCCCATCAACGTCATCGTCATTTTCCCTCGTCGTGTGCTCGTCAACGTCGTCTGTTCTCATCTGTTGGCTCGGCTTTCACCTTTTCCTCCGCCGCTTTCCCCGACCGCTTTTCCACCGCCTTCCCGCCTCCGCTTTTCCCAGTGTGCGTGAGTGTTTGTGAGGTGCTCTCAGCTCGTCTGGAGTTTTTGTGTAGCGCAGGTTTAGGTGCGCAGCTTTCGCTCGTTAGGTACTCGGTTTTTTGCCAGCTTTTCCTTTTTTATTTCCACTTTTCCACTGCTGTCTTAGGTAAATACAAATGAGAAAGCGAGAGAGAGCGAGCGTGTGAGAGAGACGAGAGAGCGGAGCAGGTGCGCCGGGAAACTCGAGCTAACTAAACCCAGCCCCTGCTCCTGCCCTTCTGCTGCTCCTGCTCCTGCTCCTCTCCAGAAATGAAGGTGTGTCTCTCCGAGTGCGTTAGGTGCTCCGTTTCGTCAGGAGGAAAATGATGGGGAAGGCGGAAAAGCGGGGGCAACTGTGATTTATGCCAGCCAATGGTTGAGCTCCTGGCTACGTGTGGTAGGTAAGTAGGTGTGACACCAGTGTCGCTCCGTCTCCGTCGCTCATACGCCACGTGGGCTAAAAAATGGCGACTCGGCTACTCGCACCTATGAGCGTTCAGCTACTCGGGCAACTGGCATGGGGAAACTTTTCTAATTAGCTGGTGGCCAAAGGATGGCGGGGAGGGAGCAAAATGGCGGGTGTAGGCTAGGAGGAGGAAAAACTAGGAGCGAGGAAAAACTTTTATTTTCGGCCCCTCAGCAGGCGCGCCTCTTTATGGATTTTTCCGACTGCCCGCTGCTTTATTTTGCCTTGTTTCTTTGCTTGCTCTTCCTCCCTACAGCTTTTCACATTTTCCCCCATTTTCTCGGCGGTGTCAGTGTCCTCGTTAGGATGCTGGAGCATTTTCTTGTGCGCAGCGATTTTCCTTCGCTCATTGTTGCAGATAAAATCGATAGCTCTTTATGGCAATTTAATATGACCTTCGTGGCTTACTTATACACATAAATTCTGTACTGTTTTGCTAGGCTCTTTATGGCCTTCCTCTCCTTCGTAGGCTGTTTTTGTTTATAATGCTCCGTTTTTATTCGGCGTTCTCTGGGGCTTTTTGCAACTGCGACTTTCGACTGTTTCAACAGGTCGTATGCGCAATCTGTTGCCATCCATTTCTCGGCCATGTTCTGCCACGGGTCAGCGAATTGACATTGAACTTCGCCAGCTATTGAACTCTTTTTTTGTGGCCTGAAATCGACGCGACCATCATAAACAGATATCTCAAGCCTTCATCAATGTATTGGGACGGATCACCGATTTGTCGCCCTTCTTTAAGCTCCCTTAAAACACAAAAATATTTTGACACTTATTTCAGACTTTCCTTTCTATCGAAGGACGAATGCATTCCCGTACTATCTGTGCTGGAAAATCAGAACGACCTAGAGATGGAAAAATGACTTTACAGATTAAGTCAAGTCTCAAGTATTCTTGTATTCCAGAGTTCAGAGTTGTATGTTAAAGTACAAAATATAAGGTATAGCATTCCGTTATCAACTCATATAAAGAGGTATTCAGAATGGGAGCACCAAATACCTTAAACAAAGTGATCCAATTGACAAATACCCTTCTGTAAAGAGGTGGTCAAAATCTTTAGCTGGCAGCGCCCTTCCAGAATCCACTTTGAGGTTTGCCTGTTGGCACAAGAACATGTCCCACACTCACCCATTCCAATCCTTCCCCCAGAGTTCAACAATAAGTCAGGGCATTAGTCGCTTGAGAAATTGTCTGTTTACCTTGTTGGCCAGTCGCCTTTTGCCTTTTGCCTTTAGCCGCTTCCAGTTTTGCAGTTTGCCAAATGGCACTCAAAGCGCTGAAATATGAAAAATGAGACGCAGGAAGCGAAATTACAAGCCGTGGCCAGGAGTATCCTGCCATCCGGGCATCCTGGTTTTCTGTAGCACCTCCAGACTCCAGAAAAACCCGCAGAGTGGCGAGACCCAAATGAAAAGTTGAAGTAATAATTGTGCGGCGGAGGAGACGACGATGACGACGACTTCGCCAGGGGCAGCCTTACACATTTTCATTTGGTCATGTCCGGTGGTGTCCGACGATGGGTAATGTTTGTCCAGACGACCCCAAGTAGCCCAACACACGTATCCACTGACTAACACAGCTGCTGCTCCTTGATTTTTGATACCCGCTATCTGGCAAGTATAGGGGTGTATTGGAATCTCTAATGGCTAGAATGCCTCTAAGGGAGTAGCTAAAAGTGTGCAAGCATCGATGGAAGAGAACTAGTAAGAGGTATTCCAGCAGTCGAACTCCACAATCATATTTTTCCTTTTTCCACTCTCCGCTTTCCATCTTCGTGTTCCAGCACTCTGTCAACGGCAAATGTTGCCAAGGACTGCTGACCACTGTCCATGCGAAGAGGAGCAGGGAAATGGAAAATGAGCAGGAAAAGCCAAGGGGAAACTGGTGGGGCGGAGGAGGAACAAGGAGCAGGGACACCTCTAAGTGGGCTTCATCAGTCGCGCTTCGCTGGGCGCCGGCAGCGTCATAATCGTTCTGTTCTGCTCATCATCTTCTCGCCGACTTTCTCTCTTCGTCTTTGGTTTGTTTGCCGCCTTTTGCGGTTGCCAGTTTTGGGGTCAAAGTTCAGGCTTCCTCTTTGAAAAGTCCTCTAGTCTTTATTTATCTTTAAGATTTTCAACTCAGTGCACAGGTTTTTTGTCCACACGCTGACTTATGACCGCAACAATGCGTCAGTCTGGCTGCTTAGCTGGCCTGAAGTGTGCACTGCAAAAAAAAGGGGTCTATTTGCAGGGAGGGAGATTTGTAATACACCCAAGTCCACAGGCTTTTTTCTTATTATACAGCATTTATTTAGTTAGTAAGATATCCATCCATATGCTGTTTGTCCTTAGATATAGGCAACTACATCTGTAAGTAAAACTGCATGAGTTTCCTTGGCATTTTCTCAGTGCAAAGTGCTTGTAGTTTTTGTCACTGTCCACTCGCAACTGCCATTCACAGAGTATCCTCGCAGGATATGTGAGAGTGTGTGGCTGGACTTGGGCCGCCGCTAAGTGGAAACTGTAGTTTTTCTTACTTATGTCCTGGCAGGAGAGCGCGGCTCATAAAGATTTGTGTCTGCGCTCCAATGTCATAAGTCAAGTGCTGGTCGCAGTTCAAGAACTCACGTGTTCGAAGGAGTAGAGCCACCTCCGTGACCCCACATCCCAGTGCTTTCCTTGGCCTCCTCCTCCTCGGCTAAGAGCAAACTCTTTCTGCAGCTTAATTGGGAGAGGGCATTAAGCAATTACTGCGAACTACCTCGAGTGGACTTTCGGCTTTAATTTAATTTGTCACACTTTGCGAGTGCAGACAACTTTACACTCTGGCCACAGCAAAGTAGAGCAGCTGGCAGGGTCCCCCGGGAGGGAGAAAATGGGGATTGTGGTCTGGCACAGCCATTTTCAATTTGACTATGCCGGAAGTTACCTGCTGGTGCCAACATCTTACCCACACACTCAGCAAGTCCGGCACTGAAGTCATTTCCTGCGCACAGGATGCCCTCCTTGTTCCCTTCCTGCGTGCCGAGTCCTGTCCAGAGTGGTTTTACGAGCAAGTGTCCCATGTGGCCAGCAGGGACTAGATTAAATTGGCATCTTTTGTTGTGTAGTGACTTTGTTCTCGCAAATGAGAATGTGAGCAAATTAAAAGTTGGCCAACTAGGGAGTAGGTGAGAGCACTATGAGTGGCTGGACAGCCTTTCTCGGTGCCTTTCGCTCCATCGAAAAGGTCAAGCCATCCATCAAGTGAAGAACTCTTATTAATGCCTCGCATTTGCAGGCTTTTCCTGACGATTAATGAAATATTTACAAGCTCAATTGCGTAGGCAATGAATGCTAATTAATCGGCTGCCTGGCTTTCTTGTCGTGAAGTCAGCCGTGAAGACTTCACGGGAACTTTCAAAATCGATTGCAGTGAATGCTTAAAGTGCCGAATTGAACAATTTGTCGTATAATTGAAAAAGTTCGAAGCCCAAAAGTAGTTGTCAAAAAGGTTTGAAACAATTTGATGAACGCAAGTCTCTCATTTCCACTTTTGGGCATGCGGTTCAATCTCGAGCCTGAACTTTTCTTACGAGCCAAAGTTTCCTGCGGCTTGTAGGCCTGGGATAATGCAATTTGGGCCGTATCTCTGGCCGTATCTGATTTCAGTCTGTGGTGGGTCAGCAATTTATGATAGGCACACTTTCAATTTCCCTTTCGATTTTTCTGGCCACTCTAATTGCCCGATACGCATGGCATACTGTATGAATCGAGCCAACTGGGCAGACGGAGCAAAACAAGTTAATTAAACGCTTCCGTTTTGCTCCAGCTTTTTGCATGTTATCAATGTCCTGGCATCACTGGGCCCCTTAATTACGGAGATTTGTATGCGGCTACCGACTTTCACTTCTCCACATGTCTCAGCTTACGTCTTACATGCTTTTGGGGACGTTTTTATATGTAAATTTATTATTTATTAACATTAATTATGGTGGTCAGTCGAGTAATTGAAGAAGCCCTTTTCCTCTAGTCTGTAATTCAGGGTGTCATCGGGTTTCTTGTGCTGATGTCAGCAGCCTAATTAACTGACCATTTGTGTGCTACGCGCTCGCCGACTTTTGAAAGGCGGAGATCGGAGCACTATTTACCAGTTCAAAATGAGAGTAGGCCTTTTGATATGCCGGGCATAACTGAAACTCCATTCGAATGCTGCCTACATAGCAAAACAACAGCTTTGACTTATCTGCATGCCCTGATTATTTGATTTTAGCTGAGCCAGATTTATATCCCAGATTGCTAAGCCCATTTTTATTTCTGTTACAACATTGCAATACTAACTAAACCAGTAGATAAACTAACACATATTATAAATTCTATAGAACGAGCCTCAACAGATCCCTCATCTCAATCCCAAAGTGCTGCGCTGAAAAGTAGGCAATGCTTTCAGTGCTCTAAGTTTGCTCACGCATTAAACGGTTTAACATGCAATTAACACGGTAAGCTCGCACATATGTGTTTGTGTACGTTTGCATACGCACTTGTTGTCGTACGTGTTAATAAAACTAATTTGATTAGCTAACTAGTGTAAGTAGCGGTTTCCACTTGCCTGTTTGCCTACGCCAGCCACTAAAACTCGAGCCGCCTCCCATTTTACCCCTTAGCCGCATATCCTGTGTGTTTTGCGCTACCTAAATACCTAAAACAACAAGCTGGCTGAGTTTTCGGTGGGCTTTCTGGGGTTAAACGTGATGGGTGGGTATCGCACACGTTTGGCATTAATTTAATCCTTCCGCAGAATAAAGTGATACCGCCACTAACAAGGCAAACACATTAAATATTTATGCAGACATCAGCAAACGCACACATGTACGCGTATGTGAAATTAGTCCTTTACGGCTCGCGTGTGTGTGTGTATGGGTGTGTTTGTGTCTGTGAGACTTTTAATTGCTGTCGTCAAAGGCTGAGGTAAGAATAATTGCAAGATTGGGAATAATGTGTCAAGTTGTGTGATGTGAGGCGGTGGCTGATTACATCAAAGAGCACCACCACACACAGATACTCACCAATACAGTCGCACTTTGAAGTGTCAACAGGCAAAGGACGAAGCCGAAAAGGAGGCGACAAAAACAACAACATAGACGTTATCCATCATGGGATCTTTCACTTTTGTCAGCGAAATAACAATGGCCTCTTAATTACACCAGTGTGTGCCTCCCTCCTTGTGTGTGTGGGTATTTTTTCGTGAGTATGGGTCTATGTTATTAAACACTGAGGAAAATATGCAGTTTACTTTAAAATTAAACCATCCTAAGCCATTCAAGGTATATAAAGCTTAATCAAGTGATTAGTGATTAGTGGGACCCATACACGACGTGGTTTATTATTATTATAAACCAATAAACGATTATTTGGTACTAAACACATCTTTCAGTGTAAAATGCAGCCATGTGCTGGTGTTTGTTTAGTCAGATGTTTGCTCGACACTTTCCTTTGGCTTGTCTTTGCTTGGCGGCATTTGCTTATGGCCAGCACTTGTTGGCAAGTTTTCTTTTGGCCTTTTTTGTCGTCGGCTGCCGTTTCCTTTCCATTCCTCGTCGGCCTTTGACTTTGACTTCGCCTGGTGTTTGGTATAATGAGCACACATCTCGGAGGAGCGGCCGCATGTGAGGATCCTCCGACAGGATGTTAATTTCAATTTAAATGCCGGCCAGCTCCTTGAGAGCTCACAATGTCCTTTGGGCCGCAGGCGAGCGTCTCAAGCAACTTTGTCCAGCTTGGGTCAACTTCCTTGGCTCACTTTTGACTGCCACTTTTGACCTCCCTGCAATTGCATTGACCAAAAGTTGGAGGGCCTGCGGCCTTGGCTTGTGAACTTTAATTGGATTCTTTGTGAGGAGAGGCCGTAATAAACGGCTCCAAGTTGAAATGAATTCATTTTGCGTGTTGACTCAATTTGGCTTCCTGGAAATAATCCCATTGCTGATCTTTCGCCACTCATTTGGCTAATTAAAATGGCATGAGCAAACAGAAGCTCATCCATTAACATTTATGAATTATCGGCTCGAATATAGCACACCGTCATGCCCCACGGTGGGGCAACCGCCCCATTTGACAGCCCATAATTCACACATCGAACTCGGGGTTACGGACTAAATCTTGGAGCAGCCGCGGAAATCACGTACAGCCAGGCGAAAGTTGCCGGATCCTTGGCATTATTGTCTTTTAAGCTAACCCAGTTCCCCACGTCTCCCCCCTCCCCATCGACCACAACAGCTAATTAACGTTAATTTATTAAATCAGTGAGCAAGTAAAGGCATCCGAGCAACTTTCCTGCAGAATAACAGCTTGGGATGGGGCAAAGACAGCGCCAAGAGCTGCCAGAGATAAAAGTTGCACACGACTCAGCTCGGTTCTGAAGCTCAGGCTTAAGCACTTTGGGTTTTTTCTACACCCAGCAGTCAAAGAGCTGTGATGCATATTGGGCTCAACAATTGTAAAGGAAATATTACAAATATTATAGTAAAATTAACAATTCAATGCTACAGCAGAAAAGTTCCAAGGCTGAACCTTTGAAATGTATGTAAATGGTTTGTATTGAAGTGAACAAATAAATTCTAAGCTGGAATTATATATTAAAAGTTATGGAAATGAATTTTGTAAATTCATTCACTTGCAATTCCTAGGTATCCCCTAGTCCAAAGATTCCCCAAGAAATGCCTCGCATTCTTACTTGCCTTAGCTGGAAAAGCATGAAAACCACACGCAGCAATTATTAATTCAATTATTTTAGCGCAAACAGCCACCTCAGACTAGGAGCGAGAATCCTTGAATGCGAGTATCCTGCAGGACCAAGGCGGAGGAAGCTGTGCGGCATAAATGAGTTCTCTTTTCAGAGCGACTGGATGAAATAGAGTAGCACAAACACAATTAAGACAACAGGGAACGGGGAACGGGGAACGGGGAACGGGGAACGGGGAAGCCCAGGAATGAAAGAAAGGCGAGCAAATAAAGTGGCAAATTTAATTAGGAATCAGCAGAGAAAGCAGAGGATCCGCACTTCGAGTCGGGGAATACCTGATGATAGCCCACATCACTTGCCGGACATGTGAATTAATAACAGCATCCGTTTCCGGGCGAAAAATGGCGACCACTCGCACTCGCACTCGCACTGGCACTGGCATTATAATAATAATATTAATAATGAGTGGCCAAAAAGGCAGACGGCGGACAGCGTGTCCGTAACAACTTCCGGAATGAAGTTGGCCGTTTTAATGTCGCAGGAAAAGTTGCCCCCGGGGGCGGCAAAATAAAGCGATGCCGAATGTAGGTAAAATGTGAATTGTAAAGTGCAAAAGTTTCCCAAGTCGGAGTCACCTGCTCGGGTTCCCAAACTACCGAAGGGGAGGGAGGCATCGGAACAAAGTCCCTTTTGTTTCAATTCACGTCCAGGACAATTGGCCAGGATCCAGACAGGAAACCAGGACGGGCAGAACCGAAGCTCATCAGGCATCAAGGTATAATTTGGCCAGGGACTATTTCATTTTACGGCCAAAGTGGCGCATTTGCATAAAGTTTTATTTTCTTTGACCCGCACTTGGGGATTCTTTCTTTGACTTGCGTTCTCGTCCTTTTCCTGGCTGATTTCCATTTCGTCTACTTTGTCGCCAGGAAGTGATTTCCTGCAGCTGCAGCAATTGAAATTCAATATCTTTGCCACGGCGGGGCTGGTGGAAGTCCCCAGGGGAGCATGGGCATCGCTTAAAGCCGTGGATCAGCTTTAACAAGTGTTTGCACCACACACATCACTTCACCACATCCTCACATCCTCACAACCTCACAACGTCACACATCAGTCAGCCTCCGAATATCCTTGGAAGGTAATTGAAAATCAAACAAGCAGCCAGCGACTCCCTCGCAAATCCCTTCAATTGCTGCAATTTACTGGATAAATAGGATCAAAATCGAATTTAAATGGCAAACAAATTTTTCCCGATTTCGATTTTGTTGACAGAACTTTTCACTTATGCTGCTGAATAAGCAGATTATGCCGACAGGGGTTGTCTATTGGATATGTTGCACACCTCAAGCCCACACGGGGTAAATAAATCTTTTAAATGGATGTTGTAACCGAAACATCTATGGTTTTACATTCATAAAGAATACAGCGGAGTTTGAAGAAAGTGGATTTGAAGCACCTTCAACTTGTGATTCAACCATGGATACATAGCGATTTAAACGATTCCCAGATATTTTAATTAAATTTCGCATTTGCACTTGAATGGTTATCTCTGTGGCAGGCAAAACTATTTACGTGCCTTGAACAAAAGTGAAATCATTCGATTTTATTTATTTTCACTCGAAACTGAAAACTTTTCCTCGCTTTCCCCCACCCTGCCGCTTTGAAAAGAAAACTTGCGCAGAAAGGCAAGCGAAAACTTTTAGAGAAAACTTTCTTGCTTCTCTCCTCTTCCACAAACATAAACAAGATTAATTTCACATGTTTTCCAGGGGTGGCGAGGACTTTTCGAGAGGGGGGAATAGAGCTGCTCGAGTTATTACTTTGATTATGTTTATTCTAGTCATGAAATCCAAATGCCCATTTCATGTGCACTTCATTTAATAAGCCCATGCCACCGAGTGAAAGCGCGAAATGATTTCCATGGCATTTTTGTCTGCTCGTGCAAGTTTTCCTCACTTCGTGTGATTAGCCAAGTGAAAAAACAGGAGATTAGGCAACTATTTCCAACTTCATTTGCCTACGGATAATGCCTTGGTATGGCAAACATCGTATTAAATGAGGTGCTATTTAATTAACTTCGATTATCTTTAATTGATTCGCTTGAGAGTTGAAGGCTAGGAGAGGCAAGGCAAAGCTCTTTAATATGGCCACTAATCTAGACACCGTCTGCGATCTATCCACTATCTGACAAATGCTGGGCGAATTTGGCCGCCATCCAACGCGATTTTCGCCATTCTGCCTTCACTCATCCTATGGACCTCATCTATATCTCAGTCGGTGCGATCTGTATCTGCGGCGACTCTTAAGTGCTTTTAATTATGTCCACTTAAGTCTCAATATCGCCAGCTTCCGAAGCGCGCAAATCACACAGAACCACACACATTGCCATTCCAATGGAACAGGAAACTTGGTAGATGGGGAGTCGGAGGAACTGCTCGGCGCACTCTAAATAAAGCATAACAATTTATGAAATTTTAATTTTTACACTTAATAACACGCCGAGTTATGGGCGCGCCAAGTGCAACGGGCCAAGCGAATTCGCCAGGAAAAGTGGCAAAGTGGCAAAAGTGGCCAAGGCGAGAAAAGGGGGAAACTTTCCTATAGAGACATCAATGTGAGACGAGCGGGCAGGTGGCCAAACCTGCGGGAGTGGGACAAATTGCGATGCAACTTGTGTGGCATCCACCGCAGACGTTGGGCGCAATTAGAGACGCCCGATGCCCGCTATATATTTTTGGTTCCCGACCGACTCGCGGATTATGCCAATGCCAAACTGGAACAAGAGATTTAAATAGCTTACTCGGCGTTACACGCATAGAAGCCAGAGAAAACTGTACAGATATATGAAATAAAGAATAATTACAACCATTTCTTGTTTTTTTGCAACATCGTGTTTCAATTGAAAAGGCGGAGAACATCATGGACTTCGATAATCCACATAAAGTATTATGCAAACTAATTTGTCGCAGCCCAACGGAAAAATAAATTTCTTGCGCGAAATGAAAATTTGATATTTGCTTCAATTTCAAATGCTCCAATCAAGAATTTTCAATTTCCTTTAAAGAGGGCAACGTATTGAAAATTCTTGGCGGAGGATTGAGTAATATGTTTCCCGTCTGTTCCAGTTTCGCACTACTATCGCCCTACTCCGTTCCCGGATGAACGTTTAACAATTTTGAAAGTGCATCTGCGTTTTGTTGGCTATTGCTGGCTATTGCTGGCTGGGATCGCTGGAGGTGCTGGAGTCCAGGTGCAATGACCCATCCACGGAGAGATCATTCGAGATCTCGACGGCGTGGTTGAGATCGTTCATCATGGTGGCGATGAGACCTTGCTGCTGCTGTTGCATTTTTGCTTGCATACGCTTATTCTCCTCCGCCTGACGAAGGATCAAGGACTTGAAGAGGTTCCTCTGCAGTTGCAGCTCGTCCTGCACATATCCTGGTCTTTTATAGGACGGCACCGGAGTCCTGATGCTTTTCGGCACATTCAGGTGGGTGGTATTAGGCGGCGCTTTCTGTTTGACTGCGAAAACCTGGCCTTTGGTCACCTGATTGGTTCGCTTGGCAGTCACTTTGGTATCACAGCTGCGTCGGGCTTGGTAAGCACTTTGGGTTTTGGTGACACTGGCATTGTTGGTCACTTGGCGGATGGCAACCAGTTTCGGGATCCGACTGGGATTCCTGGTTGTCGTAGGCTTATTAGGTGGCTGCTTCCCAATTTGCTGTCCAATTTGTAGGTCACTTTTTATAAGCAAAGTTAGCTGTGGCAGGGGTCTCTTCGTCAGGTCTCTTCGCCACATTTGGTGATGAAGTTTCGCAAGATCCGGACTAGTGGTGCTCCGATGAAGTGGTTCCACGGACAACTCCCGTGGCTTGGGGTTCTCCGCCTTCGGTGGATCCAACTTGGTTACCCAACCACTCTCTGCTGTGGCCAACTTCACGGGTGTCACCTTAACAACAGCCCTTTGCGGCGGAGTCAGAGAAGCATCCTCCATCACCAGCTGGGAAGTCATCCCAATTGGCTTGGGTAGCGGAGCAGAGATCTGCAAGACCATGTTGGCTGTGTGATCACAGATCTTCGTCTCCGATTGCTCCAGTTTTTGGCGGAATCGACCCATTATGACCAGTGGAGCAAATCCTTGTTGCGTGTTTGTATTTGTAGACGCATCCTTCCGTTCCGGACGTGTAATCTGGTTCCTCTTCTGGACCACTTCCTTGGTCAAGGCACACAGGCGCAGCCGCATCATTTCTAGTCTCTTCCAGTCATTCATCTATTGGGGATATAATTACAGTTTAAATACTATCTCGGAGCATAAGGACCCACCACTGGAGGCAGAATAGGTTTATCATTTAGGCAGTAACTCGACTTGAACTCGCCACCTCCAATGTTTTCAAGTTCACAAAGGAACGTTAACTGCTCTGTTTCTCCGGCCATGTTCAAAAAATTTCGTGTAGAAATTTCAGGTATCGAAAATTGTCTTTGTTGTGGGATGTGTAGGTTAAAGGAATGGAATGGAATAGGAAAGGCATGTGTGTTGAACCAACAACGACTGTCATTTGTGGAATGAGTATGTTTGCTAGGAGTACTAGTGTCCACACCATTGTCGGTAGCCTACACTGTGGAAAATACAGTACATGAAAGGGGAATCGGTAGCTTTTTGTTGTCCACAGAGTGAGTTCTTCCATTAATTTTACCACTTTAATTTAATTTTACCATTCCAAGTGCGCTAGTTCCATTTTTCCGAGTGCATTCCACATGCAGTGCCCATCCGCACTTTTGCGTCCCAATCCGGACGGAGAGTCTGACAAATGCGCCGCTCGTCGCAGGAGCGTGCCACAAAAGGTACGGGCAGTCGAGCGTGGAGCTGGCAAACAAGGAGCACAAATAAAGTCCACTCCATTACCGGCAGGACATTCGTCCTTTCACTGTACGTGTGTGTGTGTGGGCCGTCTGGAAATTTGTCTTGGGCGCTTGTAGGTGTGATTTGTTTTTTAAATTTCAGGAGACCGGAGCTGCAGAAGCTGGCCAATTTGTCTCCCCCCGTGGGTTGACTTTTTATTTGCAACGTAGTCACGTAGCATTTTCACTTGCATACTTGCGACATGCGGCAATTTTCCACTAAATTTGCCATGTCAAACATATTTCGGACATATAACGGACCTGCAGCAGAGGAGGGGCCTCATAAAGAATTCAAATTAATACATTAACAGCTCCAGATAAGCGACCTTCGGGGAGGAAAGTAAATACTTGGCTCCCACCGACAGGTAATAAACGCCGAGTCGTTCGTGCCAAAGTCTCGAAAGTTTTGCCCCAAGGCAATTTGCCTCAAGTGGCAATTCGGGAGCGTGCCAAGTGCCTTGGTAACGGTAACAGCCCACGGATTGCGAGAACACGGCACATGGGCACAAGTGGGTTAAGGCGGGGCACTCTGCGGTTAACCGCCTGCACCACAAAAGGTATTTATCTCATTGTGCAGATTAAGAGCTGCTCTCAAATTAGGTGAGTGTCGTCACGTGACACAAGATGGGATCTAGATAGCGATGAGGTTGGAAATAAGGGAAGGTGGGTGGTTTAAAGGAGGTTCAAGGCTGCGTTTAGAAGGCATCTAAATGTTCAATGCCTTAGGTAAAAAAATGGCCAAATTTTGACTTTTCAAGGCTTGAATGCCATTTGATTGGAAATTTTGCAACGAATTCGGAGATGTATGCCGTTCCATAATCGGTCAACTAATTCCTTTGTTTTCGGAAAAATACTGATTATTTTATATCAAAAATTAGGGATCAAAATAAGCTCAAAAAATTGATATTTTAAACAGGTTTTTCCGCCATAATTTCATAAAAAATAGTCGCACAGCCAAAATAATCACTGTTCCGTGCAGCTAATTATCCTAACTTTTGACCCATATCAAATTTTTGAATGTTTACGAAAACTCATATTTTCATGATTTTTTGCATATTTTGGAAGGGGTACCATCATCAAATTTTGAAAAAAATGGCCAAATTTTGACTTTTCAAGGCTTGAATGCCATTTGATTGGAAATTTTGCAACGAATTCGGAAATGTTTGCCGTTCCATAATCGGTCAATTAATTCCTTTGTTTTCGGAAAAATACTGATTATTTTATATCGAAAATTAGGGATCAAAATAAGCTCAAAAAATTGATATTTTAAACAGGTTTTTCCGCCATAATTTCATAAAAAATAGTCGCACAGCTAAAATAATCACTGTTCCGTGCAGCTAATTATCCTAACTTTTGACCCATATCAAATTTTTGAATGTTTACGAAAACTCATATTTTCATGATTTTTTACATATTTTGGAAGGGGTACCATCATCAAATTTTGAAAAAAATTGCCAAATTTTGACTTTTCAAGGCTTGAATGCCATTTGATTGGAAATTTTGCAACGAATTCGGAGATGTATGCCGTTCCATAATCGGTCAACTAATTCCTTTGTTTTCGGAAAAAATACTGATTATTTTATATCAAAAATTAGGGATCAAAATAAGCTCAAAAAATTGATATTTTAAACAGGTTTTTCCGCCATAATTTCATAAAAAATAGTCGCACAGCCAAAATAATCACTGTTCCGTGCAGCTAATTATCCTAACTTTTGACCCATATCAAAGTTTTGAAAGTTTACGAAAACTCATATTTTCATGATTTTTTGCATATTTTGGAAGGGGTACCATCATCAACTTTTGAAAAAAATGGCCAAATTTTGACTTTTCAAGGCTTGAATGCCATTTGATTGGAAATTTTGCAACGAATTCGGAGATGTATGCCGTTCCATAATCGGTCAACTAATTCCTTTGTTTTCGGAAAAATACTGATTATTTTATATCAAAAATTAGGGATCAAAATAAGCTCAAAAAATTGATATTTTAAACAGGTTTTTCCGCCATAATTTCATAAAAAATAGTCGCACAGCCAAAATAATCACTGTTCCGTGCAGCTAATAATCCTAACTTTTGACCCATATCAAAGTTTTGAATGTTTACGAAAACTCATATTTTCATGATTTTTTGCATATTTTGGAAGGGGTACCATCATCAACTTTTGAAAAAAATGGCCAAATTTTGACTTTTCAAGGCTTGAATGCCATTTGATTGGAAATTTTGCAACGAATTCGGAGATGTATGCCGTTCCATAATCGGTCAACTAATTCCTTTGTTTTCGGAAAAATACTGATTATTTTATATCAAAAATTAGGGATCAAAATAAGCTCAAAAAATTGATATTTTAAACAGGTTTTTCCGCCATAATTTCATAAAAAATAGTCGCACAGCCAAAATAATCACTGTTCCGTGCAGCTAATTATCCTAACTTTTGACCCATATCAAATTTTTGAATGTTTACGAAAACTCATATTTTCATGATTTTTTGCATATTTTGGAAGGGGTACCATCATCAAATTTTGAAAAAAATGGCCAAATTTTGACTTTTCAAGGCTTGAATGCCATTTGATTGGAAATTTGGCAACGAATTCGGAGATGTATGCCGTTCCATAATCGGTCAACTAATTCCTTTGTTTTCGGAAAAATACTGATTATTTTATATCAAAAATTAGGGATCAAAATAAGCTCAAAAAATTGATATTTTAAACAGGTTTTTCCGCCATAATTTCATAAAAAATAGTCGCACAGCTAAAATAATCACTGTTCCGTGCAGCTAATTATCCTAACTTTTGACCCATATCAAATTTTTGAATGTTTACGAAAACTCATATTTTCATGATTTTTTGCATATTTTGGAAGGGGTACCATCATCAACTTTTGAAAAAAATGGCCAAATTTTGACTTTTCAAGGCTTGAATGCCATTTGATTGGAAATTTTGCAACGAATTTGGAGATGTATGCCGTTCCATAATCGGTCAACTAATTCCTTTGTTTTCGGAAAAATACTGATTATTTTATATCAAAAATTAGGGATCAAAATAAGCTCAAAAAATTGATATTTTAAACAGGTTTTTCCGCCATAATTTCATAAAAAATAGTCGCACAGCCAAAATAATCACTGTTCCGTGCAGCTAATTATCCTAACTTTTGACCCATATCAAATTTTTGAATGTTTACGAAAACTCATATTTTCATGATTTTTTGCATATTTTGGAAGGGGTACCATCATCAACTTTTGAAAAAAATGGCCAAATTTTGACTTTTCAAGGCTTGAATGCCATTTGATTGGAAATTTTGCAACGAATTCGGAGATGTATGCCGTTCCATAATCGGTCAACTAATTCCTTTGTTTTCGGAAAAATACTGATTATTTTATATCAAAAATTAGGGATCAAAATAAGCTCAAAAAATTGATATTTTAAACAGGTTTTTCCGCCATAATTTCATAAAAAATAGTCGCACAGCCAAAATAATCACTGTTCCGTGCAGCTAATTATCCTAACTTTTGACCCATATCAAATTTTTGAATGTTTACGAAAACTCATATTTTCATGATTTTTTGCATATTTTGGAAGGGGTACCGTCATCAAATTTTGAAAAAAATGGCCAAATTTTGACTTTTCAAGGCTTGAATGCCATTTGATTGGAAATTTGGCAACGAATTCGGAGATGTATGCCGTTCCATAATCGGTCAACTAATTCCTTTGTTTTCGGAAAAAATACTGATTATTTTATATCAAAAATTAGGGATCAAAATAAGCTCAAAAAATTGATATTTTAAACAGGTTTTTCCGCCATAATTTCATAAAAAATAGTCGCACAGCCAAAATAATCACTGTTCCGTGCAGCTAATTATCCTAACTTTTGACCCATATCAAATTTTTGAATGTTTACGAAAACTCATATTTTCATGATTTTTTGCATATTTTGGAAGGGGTACCATCATCAAATTTTGAAAAAAATGGCCAAATTTTGACTTTTCAAGGCTTGAATGCCATTTGATTGGAAATTTTGCAACGAATTCGGAGATGTATGCCGTTCCATAATCGGTCAACTAATTCCTTTGTTTTCGGAAAAATACTGATTATTTTATATCAAAAATTAGGGATCAAAATAAGCTCAAAAAATTGATATTTTAAACAGGTTTTTCCGCCATAATTTCATAAAAAATAGTCGCACAGCTAAAATAATCACTGTTCCGTGCAGCTAATTATCCTAACTTTTGACCCATATCAAATTTTTGAATGTTTACGAAAACTCATATTTTCATGATTTTTTGCATATTTTGGAAGGGGTACCATCATCAAATTTTGAAAAAAATGGCCAAATTTTGACTTTTCAAGGCTTGAATGCCATTTGATTGGAAATTTTGCAACGAATTCGGAGATGTATGCCGTTCCATAATCGGTCAACTAATTCCTTTGTTTTCGGAAAAATACTGATTATTTTATATCAAAAATTAGGGATCAAAATAAGCTCAAAAAATTGATATTTTAAACAGGTTTTTCCGCCATAATTTCATAAAAAATAGTCGCACAGCTAAAATAATCACTGTTCCGTGCAGCTAATTATCCTAACTTTTGACCCATATCAAATTTTTGAATGTTTACGAAAACTCATATTTTCATGATTTTTTGC